AGCACTTTGAATTGTGCCCTGAAATGGACCGGCAGCCAATGGAGCTGTTGCAAGAAGCAAAGCAAAGCAGCTTCATTTATATACCGCTTCATATCGCGCTATGGGATATCTAAGCGGTTTACAACTGTAAGCTCATTGCCCCCCAATAGTTGGGTACTCATTTTATCGACCTCGGAAGAATGCAGGCCTGAGTCTAGCCTGAGCCCTGGCTAGTATTGAACTCGCAACCTACTGGTCTATGAGTGAGTGGCTGCAGTACAGGCATTTAACCACTGTGCCACCAGGGCTCCCTGTAGCTAGTTGCATGCTTCCTGTAGCCAGTTCTAGTTAACAACCTGGTGGCACCTCATGTGCCCGTGATGGGAGAAAAATGAGCCATCCTTTGCAGATTATGTGGGTTAAGTAGACTGTATATATCTTTTACCTTTAGGGCCCTAAACTGACTTTCAGAAAATACTCAGAGGCCAAATTTTCAGGGGACCAAAGGGAGAAGAGGAAAAGCTAAAATGCCAACTTGTTTTAACTGCAAACTTGTACTGCCAATAACTAAACCTCCGGGGAACCGTTTTAACCTTCTATAATTGGAAAAGGGGTGGAATGTCTACAGAAACTGGGAAACCACACAATGATTGTGTAATGGGGAAGGGGGCATAATTATCTGGGGGAACTCAAGTGCCAGATTTGCCCTACTTCAAAGGTACTGGATTTTACCCCTGGACTTGAGGTTTCCTACCCCTGCATTTCTCTTTCGTTTTTTTACAGGTTGAGGTGTTCCGAAAACGTGATGCTGAAGATGGTGTCAAAATTGCTCAGGTCCTGGATGGCTTCATTGGCCGCAAAGTGGTGAAGCAGACAGTGATGACAGTGGTGTACGGGGTGACGCGCTACGGAGGACGCCTCCAGATTGAGAAACGCCTCAAGGAGATTGACGATTTCCCTCAGGTTTCATGATTAATAATAGGAGGCTTGGCATTAGAGAGGCAACATTTCATAGTGTCATTGGGGCACAGTGAATCTTTTCCAGGTTTTTACTAGATTTCAAGGAACTTTCCAGGGTGCTGAACCTGGTTGGAAAGCTCTTTCAAAGCCTGGATTAAAATCTCAAGAGTGCCAGTGTGATTTAGTGGTTTCAGTGCTGGGCTAGAGAATCAGAGTTCAAATCTCTTGCTCTGTCATGGAAACCCACTGGGAAACCTGAGCAAGTCATACCTTCTTAGCCTTAAAGGAAGGCAGTGGCAAACATCCTCTGAAATTGGGTCAAGAAACTTCAATTTTTAAGAGACACCATGGTGTAATGATTTGAATGTTGGACAAGCATTTGAATTCCTGCTCAGCCACAGAAATGCAGTGGGTGATCTTGGATAATCACACTTTCATCCTCAGAGGAAGGCAGTGGCAAACCTCCTCAGAAGAAATCTTGCTAAGAAAACCTAGAGTCTCCACAAGCCAATATTGACTTGAAAGCACACAATAGTAGTAGCAGCCTTGGTTTTAGCATTATTGATATTAGTAATGTTAGTCTTTTTTAATAAATACTAATTTTTAATAAACACTAAATTAGAGCAATATTAATAGTAATATTAATATTGAGAACCAGTATGGTGTAATGGTTTGAATTTTGGACTACAACCCTGGATACCAGGATTTGATTTCCCTACTAAGCCATGGAAACCCTCTGGCTGGCCTTGGGTGAGATACTCTCACTCTCAACCCCATGATAGGTTTGCCTTAGGGTTGGCATAAGTATGAAATGACTCTAAGGCATACAACAATATTAGTGTTAGTAATTTCTACCTTGCCCTTTCCTCCACATAGCTCAAGGCATTATCCATGGTTCACCTCCTCCCCACTTTTTCCTTGTCATAATAACCCTGTGAGGTAGGCCAGGGTGGAAGAAAGGGTTTAAGACAGACAGAGATATAGAGAATGTCTTGACCAAGGTCATCCAGTGCACTTCATGACTAAATAGGAGCACAGATCTCCCCAGGCTCAGACTAACATTCTAACCACTGTACCACGCCGCCCCTTGTTATCCTTTTCAGACCTTTTTGCTACAGTAAAAGATTTCTGAATGATTTGCAATGCTACAACAGTCTTGTTTGCAACTGTATTAAAGTAGCTTCTGTTCCCTTCTCATTTAAAAAAAATGCTGATTGGTTGATGTGATTTATTTGGTACATTGTTGTTTTGATATTTTAATGTGCTTTTATTCTTGTAATCTTGCTGTATTGTTTTACTGATTGTTTTTAACTACCTCAAGAGGCTGAATGGTAGTTTCTTAAAAACAACAACAACTAGCCATTATATTGGGAAGAAAATGGCTTGAGATGCCTCCTGTTTTTTTCATTTAATTGTATTTATCTTACTTTCTCTCTCTCCAGGAGTATGTCTGGGAAGCATCTCACTACCTCGTTCAACAGGTCTTCAACAGCCTGAAGGAGATGTTCTCAGGAACTCGAGAAATCCAGGTAAACTCTTGTTTCCTTTTTAATAAAACAATAACTTCTTATTCCCAATATTCCCATCTTTTTCTTTTTTCCTGTCTCTGATTAACAGCTCCACCTCATCCTGAAGTGTTGTAGGATCCTAGATCCTACATTCTAGGATCTAAACATTTATTCTCAAATTGTTTTTAAAAGTTTCTAGCCCATAAGATTGCAGGGGAAAAGCAAAACTTGTAAAAACATAAGGGCAGTGGTTGTCACAGACTCACTTCAGTCCCAAAGACATAACTTTTCCAGAAATGCTGAAGCCATGGATGAAACTTGTTTTTTCATATAGAAGCAGTCATTTTCAAGAAAACTGAACAAATACAATATTTTTTCCTTCCCTTTTTTCTTTATATTCCTCCTTTTTCCTAGGACTATTAATAGCTACACTGACTATTAATATTAGTACCTTTAACAGACAAAGTCATTTCGTTAATTTGTATTAACATATAATCAGGTATGGCATAAAATTGTTTAGAATATTAAAAGTAGAGTATATTCTGCCAGTAATCACAAACAGGTTTTTTTTTTTGGTTGCAAATGGAGCTACGACATCTTGAATTGTAAGGAATGCTTAAATTCTAAGAAACCACTTAGGTTTTGCCAGTTAATGAGGAGCAGGCAAAAAACAATAAAAATAGAAGAAGCCATCAGTTTTTGCAAAACAAAGAAAAATATTTTGCCTCCTCTCAGTCTTCTATCAAAAAGACATAAAATACTGATTCCCATAAAAAAAAAAAAAACCTGAAGACCAGGAATTGCAATGGTCAGATACTATACATAATCTTAGATAACTGTTTTCCTGTTCATAGTTTTTAGAAATAAATTTGCAGGAATGAAAAGCCAGTGTAGTGGTTTAAGTGTTGCAGTATAATGCTGGAGGCCAGGGTTTGATTTCCTGCTCAGCCACAGAAACCCACAGGGTGACTTTGGGGGAGTCACACATTCTCAGTCCCAGAAAACCCTATGATAGATTTACTTCAGGGTTGCCATAAGTCGGAAATAACTTTAAGGCACACAACAACAACACAAACATACAAACACTTTATTAACCATTCAGAAAGGAAATATTCTATGATCTGAATTTTCAGGGAAGCAAAATGGGTTAGCTTTTCAGGCCTTCACATCTTTATTCCTTCTATCACCTAGGTTTCTTTCCCTCTTGATCTCTTCCCTTCCAATACTTCATCCATCATGTTCTCTCTTTTAGGGCTGGCTGACAGACTGTGCCCGTCTTATATCCAAATCTGGACGGACGGTGGAGTGGGTGACTCCTTTGGGACTGCCCATTGTTCAGCCTTACCATCGTTCCAAATCCATGCTGGTAAGGCCCTGAAACAGGCGTGTTTTTTTTTTTAATCTTTATCTTTTTGTAGTAGCTTTACAGTTTTTTGGGTCTTATGCTTGTCAATCTGTATCTAGCTATAGTTTTTGAGAGTTTATTATTTTGATCAACTGGGTTTGTAATGCTATAAACAACAGTGTTGTTCAGGAGGCAGATCAACACCAGCATTTTTCATTTTCATAACTGTAAGCTTTGGTTATGTAATTATATACTCTTTGTGTAACCTTCCAGATATTGTTGAATTACAACTCCCAGCAGTCTCAGACAGCATAGTGAATGGCGAAGGATGCCTTGGAGGGTTGTGGTGTCTCCTTCTTTGGAGGTTTTTAAACAGAGACTGGATTTCCATCTGTCAGGAGTGCTTTGATGGTGTCTTTCTTCATGACAGAAGGATGTAGCCCTTGAGGTCTCTTCCAAATCTATGATTCTATGAATACTGGGAGTCACAGTTCATCCACATCTGGAGAACCACAATGCAGAGGGTTCCCCCTCTACCGCACATACCTATGCTGGATGTAATGTAATATATGTGCGTTCAAGTTGTATATATTACATAATGTAATATATGTGCGTTCAAGTCAAGTTGGCGACTTCATGTGTTTCATAAAGTTTTCTTGCCCAAAGAATCTCAGGTAGTTTTGCCACTTCTGCACCACCTGGGATATTAATTGGCAATCTCCCATCCAAGCCCTGACCAGGTCTAGTCTTGCTTGGCTTCCGAGGCCAGATAGGATCTGGTGCCTTGAGGATATTGAGGTTTCTGGGTTGGTTTCTGCTGTTACCAAATAGATGTCCTGCATTGGATACAACTCTTAGAACATAGGAGATTGTTTGTCTGTCGGTTGCATTTTTTATTCTACCTTTTCCTCCCAGGTTGCTCAAGGTGCTATACATGATTGTCTCCCCAACCCCTTATCTCGGGTATGGGCAGATTTTCCAGCTGGTGGGGTCAGCTTTGCTTTTTTAACAAAACAGAACTCTAAGAGTGCTTTGCTAGTATCGTTGTTGTTGCTGTGGGTCTTCAAATCATTTCTGACTTATGGTGACCCCTAAGGCAAACCTGTCATGATGTTTTCTTGGCAAGAATTATTCAGAGGAGGTTTGCCGTCGCCTTCCCCTGAGGCTGAGAGCATGTGACTTACCCAAGCTCACCCAGTGGATTTCATGGCCAGCTGGGAATCAAACTTTGGTGTCTAGAGTTGTAGTCTAGCATTCAAACCACTATACCACGCTGGCTCTCTTTGCTAGGTGCTTTTCAATTATACTGTACAGTGTCATTTTGTTACTCATGCTCAGCCTTGATTATAACATTTATGCATTTTGTATCTCTGTGTCTTGTTCGGATAGACTTCTTTATTATTTATTTATACTATTGCAATTTGTTAGGCTTATCGCTACTGCGGATGTCATAATGATAGTGTTAATATATTTTTAGGCTATTGTATGTACTAGGAAGTGAAAAAAAGGCTGTGATTCACTTTAAGGTGATACTTGCTTTACAGCAATGGTCTGGAACCTAACCTGCCATATTAGTGAGGGATGTGGTCAGTAATTTCCACATATTGCTGGAAATTGTGACCAACAGTGATGTTGTTTCATTTTCCATTGGTTTTTGGCTGACATATGGCCAAAATCAGAGGAACTTTGGGGCTGGGGTGAGCAGATGTGGCTCATGTAGGGCTGGAAGGTGAAAATTGGCCCCCAATTTTCCTTATCCCCTACTTTACCGTTTGGACAAAAACCTGGTGTGGATACACAAACACATAGATGCACAGGCACACACACATACTCACAGATGCCCTGCTGACACTGGAATTATCAGCCTTCCCTTCACCTTAGAATGAATGACTTCTGAGCCCTGAGATTTATTTTGAGCTTCAGAACTGATCACGATACATAGTCCATCTTCTGCAACTCCTGGTTGCTTTGAATTTCCTTCATTTTTCTTCATTTTTGCCATCTAGTTTGGAATGTGTTTGTTGCTTTTGTTGCTAAAAAACCCAGAGAGTTCAGAAAGCTTTGCTGGTCCCTTGTAAGTCACCTTCTGCCTGCTTTTGCTTTATTCCAGGGATGGCCAAAGTGCATTTCTCTTGTGGTCCCTTATCAATGTTTTTGTGGCCGTCAACACCTCTGGAGTTCCCAGATTCTTTGTGTGTGTGTGTCCAAGTCCCCTGTTGACCCCATTAATTTCATCATGTTTTCTTAGGCAAGGAAGATTCAGAGGTGGTTTCGCCAGTTCCTTCCTCTGAAATATTGCCTTTGTGATCTCCCATCCAAGTGCTAACCATGGCTGACCCTGCTTAGCTTCCAAGATAAGATGGGATCTGGTACCTTCAGGGCAGTAGTTCCCAGCCTTTGGTCCTCCATTTGTTTGGGATTCCAGCTCCTAGAAGCCCCAGCCTGTTTGGTCAGTGGTCAGGAATTGTGGGAGCCGAAGTTCAAATCATATGGAGGACCAAAGGTTGGGAAACACTGGTTTATGATATTTAGGCTTATCGATAGACTACTCTTTTACAATAAAAGAGGGTTAACGGCTACTCTTGGAAACCTTTTACTTTTTAGGTTAGTTAAAAGGCCTCCCTGCTCTATTTAATATACCAAAATACCCCTTTTTGAGAACCAGAAGTGAACTTTTGATGGTGGTAATGGTGATGATGATTTGTATCCCTCTTTTCTCCCAAAATTAGGTCTCAAAGTGGTTTGTAATTTAAAAGAATACAATTAAAACCCTACAAAAATGAGCATTAAAATAGAATTAAACTACAGGTGTCCCTCCCGATTGGCAGGGAATCCATTCCAGACACCACCACCCCGCAAATCTGGAAAACCGCAAATATTCAAGTTGCCATTGGTTACAATGGCTGTGTGCTCCTGCGCGCGTGTCATTCTATCCTCCCTACTTGCCATCCACAAAGGACCAAGACCATGGACTCCAAGTCTGTGAATGGGGAGGGACAAGTGTATTATTATTTTTTGGCAGTCCATAGAGCTCCCACAGAGCCCCAGAAGCATTAAAGTAGCCCCCAGATATTTTCCTACCTTTGCTTTAGTCCATCTTACCAAAAACCCTTTGAGGTAGACTAGGCTTTAGTGAGCATTGTGGCTGAGCTGCGATGTGAACCCAGGCCTTTGGAGGCTCTCACTTATCATCACCCACAGGTCAGCTTAATTTAACAATCTTGGCTTTTAGCAGTCATTATTTGTAGTTTCTGACAGAGGCAAATAGATTCTGTCTCCTGTTCATAACCTTATTCACATCCCGATTCCTCTGAGCCAAAACCAGGGCAGGTAAGGTAGCATCATCAGAATAGAAGGATCTCAAAGAATCGATTATACATACCTTTATCCATCTGCTGCAGACCCCATTTTTAATTTCCTTGCTCCCCCCCCCAGGTCTTTCAAACTCCAGATTTTTGCAGATACTAATTGTATGGGAAGAAACCCAAAATATCTGCTTTTTGAAGTGAAGGTCATTAATGATCAGTTTGTATCCATCAGTCTGTCTTATGGACTAGTGCAGGGGTAGGCAACCTAAGGCCCGGGGGCCGGGTGCGGCCCCCCAAGGCCTTTGGACCGGCCCCAGGCCGGTCCTGCCGCCGCCACCCCCCCCCTATGATGATATTGATTATTGTTGTTATTACTTGTTCTTGGGGCTTTTCTTGGCAAAATCTCCACAGGGGTTTTGCCATGGCTTTTCTGGGGCTGAGAGAGTATGCATGCATATTTTTTTAATTTTAATTTTTTTTAAAAAAATTATTGTTATGGTTTATTTATTTATTTATTTATTTATTTATTTATTTTTGGTGCTTCGGCCCCCCCAATTGTCTGAGGGACAGCAACCCGGCCCCCGGCTCAAAAAGGTTGCCTACCCCTGAACTAGTCAGTTACATCCCTGCAGGGGAGCCCCCCCTCTCTGAAGTCTTGACTGGCCAGGCAATTAATTTTCTATCTTTAGTCCTCCCCTGCTGTTTCATGGGGTTAACAATCAACCATTCTCTTAACTAGAGAAACCCCAGCCTTGTTTTTCTTCTTCTTTGAGTCCTCCTATAATTTCCTTTTTTCCCTCCCCACCTCAGCTTATTACACTTTTCATATTACTTCCAAAATATATGGGAGCAGGGAGAAACAGGATCATATCCCGGCCAAAATGGCAACTGGAAGTTGACATTTGAGAGCTGTAGAAATAAGTCCAGGGCTATAGACACTTTTCAGATTTCATTTTCCCCATCCATGCTCAAAGATGATGATTTCTGTCCTACCCTATATTAAAAGATCTCAGGGTGGCATACAAGGCAAATCAATAGAAACGAGGTAAACCAATGTAAACCAATAAACATATCGAATTTGATAACTCCCACTTGGACAAGTTTTCACCTCCTTCACAGCATCAGGATTTATGGAAAGATGTTCTGTATAATGTTTAGACCTCATAGTTGATGTTGCTTACCAGAGGTTGGGAACCACTGCTTTTAAAATAAATCATGTTGTAAACTGTTTTCAGTTAATATATTGATTGATAATTTGTTATTTAAAAAAAATAAGAGCGACTGCGCAGGTTTTTAAAAACAATTTGAAACTATTTCATTTGTTTTAAAATGTGTTTTACTCCTGGAGAAATATTTAAGTAATAAAAGGGGGGAAAATAAAACAAGAAAAATAATTTATATTTTGTTGTTGTGTGCTTCCAAGTCATTTTAGACTTATGACAACCCTAAGGTCATAGGTTTTTCTTGGCAAGGATCCTTGGGATCCCTTCCAAATCAATCATTTTGTATTTATATACATGTATGCATTCCCACATTCTATGTGTGATTGTGAAAGCTGGACAGTAAAGAAAGTTTGGTAGGAAGAGAATCAGTTCATTTGAAATGTGATGCTTGAGGAGGGTTATGTGGATTTCCCAAAAGACAAATCATTCAGTCTGAGAGCAAATTGAATTCTCACTTGAGGCCATATTGACTAAATTGAGGTTGTTTAACAACAAAATTGTTGCAGGTTTTGTATATAATGGCTCAGTCAAAATGGAGACCATAGTAAAGAAATCAGAAAAAGGCTAATAAGACTTGGAAGGGCACCCATGAAACAACTAGATAAGATCCTCCAGTGTAATTGAATATCAAATTCAGAATCATCCACGCCAAAGTATTTCTGATTTGTATGTATGGTTGTGAAACCTGGACAGTTGAAGAAAGCTGACAGGAAGGGAATCAACTCATTTGAGATGTGGAGCTGGAGGAACTTCTATAGATAATATGCACAAATAAGACAAATAAATGGGTCCTGAAGCAATAAGAGAGCCAGCGTGTCATTGTGGTTTGAATATTGGAGTATTCAATACTCAGACCAGGGTTTGATTCCCAGCTTGGCTATGTTAGGACCTTGGGCAAGTCACACTCTCTCAGCCTCAGAGGATGACAATGGCAAACCCCTTCTGAAAAAATATGCCAAGAAAACCCATTATAGGGGTTTTCCCTGACCTAGGGTCACCATAGGTCAGAAATGACGTTGTGTGCCTTCAAGTCGTTTTTGACCTATGGTGGTCCTAGGTCTCTTCTTCATAGGGCCACCATGAGTTGAAGCCAGCTTGGTAGCAATTTAACAACAAATGCATGACCACATGCTTATAGAGTCGGCTCTTCATGTGCACGGATTCTTTATCCATGAATTCAAGCATCCACAGCTTGGAAATATTCCAAAAGAGAGAGATTCCAGAAAGCAAGCCTTGATTTTGCTATTTTATATAAGGGACACCATTTCACTATGCCACTGTATGTAACAGGACTTGAGCAGCCACAGATTTTGGTATCCATGTGCGGTCCTGGAACTGAACCCCAGCTGATACCACTGTACATGCGTTTGTGCTCCATGTTAAATTTGAAAGACACACACATGGGGGGGGGAAATCCAAATATTTCAACTGGAATAATTTTTTCTCTTCTCTTCTCCAAACACAAGAGGGAGTGGGATTTGAGGTCCCCCAGAGCATTGAGATTACCTGCCTGGGAGTGCGCATGCTCTCACCTAGGCGAGCTCCCTCGAGGAAAAGCAGCGGAGGATAATGGGTAGTGAGTCAACCTTTTGCAGCAGCAAAACCATGAGTCAGCAGGTGGAGGGGAGTGAGTCAGCAGAAGTGAGGAGGGGGAAGAGAGTCAAGGTGACATTTGCCGGAATAACAAGAGTCGATTGCTGCAGTTGGTTGCCAGTGCCTGGTGAGAGAAAGCAAAAGCAACCGAGCT